ATGGATGGCACTCTCTTTCAGTTGTAAGACACCTCGGGGTAGGCCCTATGGATGGCACTTTCTTTCTGTTGTAAGACACCTTAGGTACGTGAGGTTTAAATGAATGCCCCCCAAAAAGTTGTATTTTCACAGGTTTCCTCACATTCCCACACAGTGGAGGATTCAAAACCTTTCTTGAAGAGGTACAAATGTAGATGTGGTGAGAAAAAAAGAAAAACAGTTTGGGTTGATCATTATCTTATGCCACGTTTTGCAGACATCAAGCCAGCCAATGTGTTCATCACGGCCACAGGTGTGGTCAAGCTGGGTGACCTGGGCCTGGGGCGGTTCTTCAGCTCCAAGACGACTGCCGCCCATTCCCTCGTCGGGACACCGTACTACATGTCTCCGGAACGCATCCATGAGACCGGCTACAACTTCAAGTCAGACATCTGGTCAATAGGTTGCCTGCTGTATGAGGTAGGTATTCCAAAAAAAGACAACTCTCAAAAATCAAATGTTTAAAAACTTTAATTGAGCTAATTTTTAATGTCCATCGACAAACAGTAACTTCTTAGTCATCCTTAAGAAGAAAAGTGAAAAATGTAGCTTTTTCATGCCACAGGAAATTCTGAAAAGGAACTTTGCATTACACTGGGTACATTTTCATTATGTGGTGAACTTTCACAACAAAAGGGTTTTTAATTAATAAGAAATGTGCCTTCAAAAGAAAAGCCACATAAAGAAGTCGCTCTGATCAAGCATGGTGACATAATGGAAAGCTGTGCTCAAAGAAGGCTTCCTGTAAAAACTAGTAGACAAATAATAGTCTGTAGAGTAAGCATAGTGCCCTCTGGAGGCTATAGCTGGTTAGACAAACTAAAATCAGCAAAATAATGCATTGTGTCTTGTGGCTTTTGCAAGCTAATTTTCATGTGGTCAAATTATGTGGTATGGTATTATTATGATCACTGGTGACTCCAGTGCATGCATGCAAGGTGTCGTCCAAGAAATGGTGTAAGCATATGCCATCCATTTCAAAAATTGAATGTCATTTGGCTGTGTGCCGAAGTGACATGGTTTCATGGCTTCAATAATGTTTTTAACGTTGGAATATTTGCTGTGGGTGATCTGGGGATATGCCCCAGTGAGTGCGAGCAATTAACAGGAAGCTGGTGCCTCTTCAGAAATAAAGGGGTACTCATCCGCATATGTCAGTGCTCAGCGCTGTCAGCGTCTTCTTTAAATCAACTTGTACAGGTTAAATGCGTAGTTTATGTAAATCACACGTAGGCTGAATTATCAGAAAAAAGTGGCACAAACTCATGCTTAATTGCTTGTATAATACTGAAGAATATCTCTTGACTGCCAGAAGACAATGAAATTAACAGCATCATCAAGCTAAGTGTGCTCTTAAAAAACCTTGTGCAGTATGTACCGGTATGTTGTAAACACAGCCAGGTGACAGTTTGTTTGAAATGGACGGTATCTGCTTGTACCTTATATGGGGGACACACCGTACACTGTGGCATTTAACGTGCATGAAAATATGCTTTGTGCCTAATGTTAATGTGTATGCATGCTTTCTTGTACTGGTATTAAACAGCAAGCTTTTGTTGAGTCCTCTTAGAATTCAGTCATTAATGGCAGATGCATGCATGCAATATTTCACCTCCTTGAGTGCACTGCCGTTAATTATTTGGCGGCGGCTTGTGGGCATATCTTTGAAATGCTCATATAGTTGGAACGAAAGGCCTTGAATTGTAAAGTGTCGGTATCAAGTTTTGGTCAGGATGCTACATGGATTCTCAAAAGTGTCCTGTAGGCACGGCAGCTCACAAGCCAGGGGAGACTTTAAAAAGGGGGGACTGTGAGAGGAAATTACAATTTTAGAGTTGGGAGGAGAAACGGTCTTGGCAAACTCACACGGAGTCATGTACTGTCAGGGCTGAAATCCCAATTCAAATCTCGACCTCGGTGGGATTCGAACTCGGGCCACAGAGGTGAAAGGGATGGAACGAGCCACTATCCTAACCTGGCTCATGGAGGGGCATTAACACTTGTCATAGGCAAATGATTGAGGGTCAGATTTCCTTTGCTTCAAACAATTGGCCATTTGCTGCAGCTACAATGTACTTTTCATCCAAGAGTGATAAGGGGTTAGTCATCTTGGGAGTCAGTCCCAACGAGAAACTTGACACTGCTTTGCCGAGCAATCCTACCCCCGATCGGTCTGAGTATTTTCCAAGGGTGTACGGTGCACTTTGTGAATGTACATGTACTTGCATGTCTGTGCTGTTGAGTTGAGGCATCGGATGAGCATTTGCTGTTACCCTGGAAGAGGTCGTTGGGGGAGAGAACAAGCGGTGACCTTTCTTTTGTTATTTCCCAATATTGGTTTGATACATTACATCCCAAAATATGTTCTGGAAGACTTTCTTGAAGATTGATTTCGCGTGCACAAAGAAAAACCCTCGTGTTCATTTTGTGCGGGGGGGGGGCTGTATTCGAGGAAGGGCTCATTGGAGTTCAACATTATGGGATGGGGTTGAATGGAGATAGTGACATAATGTGTTGTCATTTATATGTGACCTCCCATGGCATAATGAGAAACTTTCCCCAAAACCTTGTTATGAGTAATCGGCGCCTGAAGTTGTTAGACATGTACGTGAAAAATCATGCAAAATCGATGTTCAGTTTTTTTTAGATTTTTAGGTACATGTAGGTTAGGTGTCAAAGATTTCCTCTAGCAATGCCATTTGTGCCAGAAAATCAAGCGAAGGTGATAAAAAGGAGGATTTCTGGAGTGTGTTTGTTTCAATCTTTTCTCAAATTTATAGTGTTTACTTTTTACATGATGAAATTTTATCCATATTCAGAGCACGACTGTTGTGTCTGTGTAAAGTTTGGTATTGTTGGAAAGGGCTTTCCTTAGAGAGCCTACTTATAGCTGTGACATCACTGACTAGATGACCGCTAGTCTGTACCAGACCTAAACAGAGATGTAAAACTCTTCTCTGTTACGTTGAAAGGCTGTGTCTCATTCATGAGCTATGCCTACATAAGCAAAAAGGAGCTACATGATTGGCTCTCCACGTAACTACATGTATAGTCACTTGGAAACGCAATAAAACTGCGTGGGCAAAAGCGAGCAGTTTGATTGGTCGCCTGTTATTCTAATGTTTGGCGGGGTCAGCATTTTTTACTTGGATACGTTTCAAGTGTTTCATTCGTTCAATCAGCATGCATTACACACGCACGAAAAAAGATACTTTTTCTGTAGCACAACTATACATGTACATAGACGTACACACACGAAAACAATGCTTTGTGCATGTACACGGTGCGCTACACCATCATTGGCATGGTGTACATGTACTATGATGTACTATGCCCAGATGTATTACCATCACTAAGCTGAATACTTGCAATTTTTGACTGCCCAAAAGGGACAACCCTGCCTGACTTTTACGCCAAGTTCAGCTGGAATTATGTATTTTATCTTATCACTGTATTGCACCCTTGTCCTCCGCTCAAGACAAGGCTTGTCGGCTTGTGAGACATAAGCATCAACATGTGCATGTACATTGAAAAGATTGAAAGTACTGAAGGCAAGATCTGATGCCTTGGCTACGCGACAGCTTTCTGAAGTGCCGAAATTTTAGGTTAGCAAAGAATATGACTCTTACTTGTCAATATAGAAAGGTTGATGTTTGACTGAATAAACTTACATTAACTTCTTATTCCTCTATGTTAAGAGGTACTGCAAATTTTATTATGAAAACGGAATGTTCCGAAATCTAGAGACAAAGTTGGGAGGCAGTGTCAACATCAGCCCGTCCGATGTCAACAGAAATTCATGAAAAGGAAACTCCACTGCCATTTCTCCTTTTCCAAACAAAATAACAAAATAACTTCCAGGAAACAATGTTTGAAGACATTCTTTCAGTGTACTTGGTATTTCGTGGTAATAGCTGCCCATAAATATAATGTTACTGTGGTCATTTAGATCGAGAGTGATTATGGAGCTCACACAACACTCTCGTGGCTAATGTTTGCAGCTTGGTGCGTGCTCTTTTTTCAGTTTGACCTCAATGATGTTGGCTACGAGTATAAATGTGGTGTCATTGGAAAGCCCATTCCTTTATCTTTATTCTCACACGCATATACACTGTATCTCAAAAGTCATAAATGGGGATCATTCTTTATTATGCTATGGTAGGTCACATACTTATGGACATGTACACTGTTTTCGTACATTTTGCGTTTTGTTATGGTTTTTTTTTTATTCTTTAATTTTGTTGAATGCTTGTGAAACCCCATGCAAATGCAGCACCACCAGATGGGTGGACAGGTGCACACTATCAACCTGTATGCTAGTTTTAACACCTACCGGTATCTTAGCAGCACACCCAGAAAATAGACACTCGTTGTATGTGTGCATGTTTCACACTTAGCCAAAACTTGTCACTCTCCAATTCACCTTCCAGCAAAAACCTTCCAGACCAAAGGGGCTTGAGTCGAGGGATGGTGTACAAACCTTTGACCCATCATTCCTTTGATCGGGTTTTAATGTCAGATGTGTTCACTGTGGGTGTGATTTTTGTAATTGTGTCAGTGACATGTACATGTAATATGTATACCTCAGTTTTTGTGGACAAATTTGTAAGCATTAAATTAAGAGGAATAGACTCACAGTAGCTTCACTGGTATGCTGACCTTGGCCTTCTCTTTAACACCAGTGATGGCATTTTTCACATTCAAAATGAGAATATTGACAACCAATAGTGAGAAAAATTGCCAAACCTGCACCCAGTTGTCCACTTTTTTAATTGAAAATAAAAATCACGGTCATAAGTGTAAGAAAGATTTCAAGAACTTGTTTTTAGATATAAACAGAAAATTCTAGTGCAGTTTGGGAAATGGGAAAAATATTTTTCAAAATTTTAAAGAGTTTCAAGATATTAGTTTTTATTAAATCGGAAAAAAGGGGCAAGGTTTGAAGTACCGGTATAATTGCCCCAGAAGAGGAGGGATTTACTTGGATTGATATTGGCTGTCTTTCATTCATGCTGCACGTCAGTGAGAACCTAGACCAAGATTGAAATTCTAACATTTGCCAGCTCTGTCAGCAAGTTGAAGTAACTGGCTTGCCACACAGGCAGATTTCTCCCCGAGCCTAAAAGCATGGCTTTCAGGTCCCTGTAGAGTGCACTGCATGGGATTTCTCCAAGCATGTTTATCCAAAGGGGCCCGCGGAATTCGGAATGGAATCAGCATTTTTCTTTTCATTTGTTTATTTTTCTTTACATCCCCCCCTTTTCTCCTCCCCCCTGGATTCACTCCATTGCTTCAATTTCGATTTCATTTTCCCAATCCAATTGCCATATGGCCTGACTTTCCTTAAATGTCCTCATCCCTTGCATCTGGTCGATTTCCTTTTAATCCCTCTCCCGCTTGCTGTCATTAATCCCATCCTATCCCATCTCCCCACCCCCCCATCTTCCGCCTAACACCATCATCGGATCCTCTTATCTCCACCCTGCATCTGTCAATGCTGCCTCATCCCATTTGCTTGTACCCTCCCCGCATCATCATCATCGTTCATCATCGTCCCCACGGTAAACCTCACCTGCCCCCGACGCCTCTATAGATGGCCGCTTTGCAATCACCCTTCTATGGGGACAAGATGAACTTATACTCTCTGTGCAAGAAAATCGAGCAGTGCGATTACCCCCCACTACCATCCGATATCTACTCACATGAGGTAAGCGCATGTGGTATGTCTGGCGTGCTTAATAATGGTCTAACAACTGTGGTGGCGGTCCCGTGTCGTAGAGCCCACCAAGCGAGTTGGAAACTCACTTAGTGCATTCATCATGGCATGGTGACCTGCCTCAATCCATACAGTGTATCACCTTGGTCATGAACACCAGCCATACTCAGTTTGATGCAGTAAGCAATTCCACTCTGCTTGCATGCGCTACGAAAAGGGACCCCGTTATCATTTGGTTTGGGCCGCATTGTTTTGCTGAGCAAAAGTTTGCCCCTACATGTCAAAGAAAATCTCAAAGGCACTTCTCATTCAGATATCGTCAGAGGTACTGTTTATTTATAGTGCGATAAAAAGGTAATAGTGTCTTTGACATGTGTGAAGCAAAATTTTGACCTTGGCCAAGCTGGCAGCCCGTGACCTCTGACCTCAGGTCAGGAAGTTTCCTTGTGTGTGTTGACTCTTCTCTATCCTGTACCAAATCTTGTGTGGTTGTCGCTCTGCCCTTGATCGGTCGGTCCCGCAACCCTAGATGGCAGCCCTTGACTCGCCGTTTTATAGCGAGGGCCTGGATTTGTGGACGCTGTGCGAGAAGATTGACAAATGTGAATATCCTCCCCTGCCTTCCTATTTCTCCAACTGTGTAAGTATCGTCTCCTCTGCCAATGCCGGCCCCACCTGGATTGTTAGGCACAATGTTGGGGCTTATGGAGAGGAAGTTGAATTTCTGAATGATGATGGTATTCCTTACTGCCTGGTCATAAATGAAAAACTTGCACTGTGATGTCATGCATACTTGCAGTGCATAATAGTGCACAATTTATGTTTCTGGGTTTGTTTTTCAGTCATGATCACTTCTTGGTTTTCTTCATTCATTTTTTTGTCAAATGGGCAAAGGTATAAAATGGTTAAGATTTTTCCCTGTGCAGTTCAAATCAGTTTATGTAAGGCTGCTTTTGGACATGGAAAGATGGACAATTTCTGAATAGTTTCAAAATGGTTCTTCAGACTGTGAGGGGTGACTACCATGAAGAGTAAGTTGATTTTCACAGGAATTGTTGGCGATGGCGGCTTCATCAAACTTTTGTGGAAAGTAGATTGATTAGTTTAGTCGTCTCTTAGTTTTTCCATTTTGTCCAGCCTACTGGACAAACGCTGCACATCATGTCTCTGTGTTGGGCTCTCTTGCTCTCATTGTCTCTTTGTTCATCACCTTTCAGATGCTGGTTTGAGACATATATGTACATGCACATGTACACTGTACCTGTAGGGTGTGTCTGTGTGTTGAGACTTTTCTTCTAAACATATGGTCCTTAAACATACATGTATATTCTTTACATTGTATCCGAGCACTTATCTGATCAGCAGTTGACAAGGTCAGTGCTGAAATTGAGTTTTGAATTGGAAGGACAAACACAGCGAAGGATAAATTTACATGCGTCGAAGTGACAGCCATCATTAATTTCAACTTTCTTTTTTTTCTCCTCCAATATCAGCTGCGGACTCTCGTGCAGCTGTGCATCCAGCCCAATCCAGATGATCGACCGGACATTGACTACGTCCACACCAAGGCCCAAGAGAACCACACCGCCTCCCTCGGAGTATGATGGCCGAGTTATCACCAGACAGTCTCGCTAGTTATTACTTGGTCTTTTTTTTTTCAGCAAGGGTTCCTAACACGTGGAGTCTCTTACAACATCAATTCACTGCAAGTTGTTACCCCTTATTCCACATCTGGACCAACGTTCTTGTCTATTTCGACTATTGCTTGGGGGACAAATGACTTCATACTGCATGAGTGTCATTAATTGTGCTCAGCATAGTCAGCAGTTTTTATGTTTGAAGCTCATCTGTGGTATGTGGTGCAATATCTGCATTATCCACTTATTTCCAGGATCAATAGCCAGATCCTTCAAGCATTTTGTTGAAGTGCTGGTCTGTAGAGTACCAATGTGAGTACATCATGCGCACAATTCACGTATGGAAAAGTCGTAAGCATGAGAACCAGCGCATGAACCAACACACGGGCATACTCGGTTTGTACGGCACCTCCTGGTTCTAAATAACATCACTCTTTGATACTGTTCCTAATGTACATGTATACTGGTCTGTGCATGGATAGCTGCAGTGAATTGCTTGTTAAGTTGATAGTTTTATGCAATTTTGGGGCATGACGCTTTTTAGTGCGCCTCAACCACAAAAGGCTGGCAGACAATCAGTTCCTATTGTGCCAAGTTCAATGCATTTACATATCATTTACCTTATCCTCGTGAATAGTGCACTTTTAAAGAAGTATTACAATGCACGAAGTACATGTATCATTCTTTCTAAAATATTCCATGAAAAGCTGTTCCTTTATTTCAGGCCCAGTATTGTTTGCTGATGTGAAATAAACAATGGAGCATGTTTCTTTTTTTTTTTCTTTTTTTGTTCCAGTGGAGGAGTGGAATTGAAGAAGTGCATTATAAAAGTGATACGATGTCTAATGCTGTGTAAATATCAGTTGTAAATAATGTGTGAAGATAATTATGTACATGCGACTGTAGAGGGTTAGGTAATTACCGCAAATGGTCAGGGGTGTCAACGGGATTGCAGGCGATGTACAGGACTCCAGGATGCGAGAACAATAGCAGTACAAGCAGTAGTGGGCAAATCAAATTTCTGAGAAGTGACTGAACTTTCTCTGGAAGTTAGGAATAAATTTTCCACATCAGTCTCGTGGAAGTTTATTTGTTTCAGGCAACTCCAGAGCTCTCCCGCCTCCTCCCATTTCCCGGGAATTTGTGAGAATTCAGGCTTTTTTCTGGAGTTGTCAGTCTACTCCTCACCAGAAGAGCTAATGAGACAATTTGATATATCTGCATCGTCCATTCCCCCCCCCCTCCAGCCTATCTCATGAATACCCCAGACTGTGCACCTACTATGACGTACAGTAATAATGTAAAAGTTATTACCGTACCTCATACGTATTCATGATTGAGAGCCGAAGTTTCACTGGTCTGTTCATCATTTACCATTTGCTATTTTGTGGCTGTTTACCAGGCACTCATGCAAGGATCCTAACCCAAGTCAAAGATCATTGCATATTTAGTAAATACTGTTTTGCAAGAACATCTATTGGAAATCGTTGCCCAGGAGCGGTATGCATGTGCAGGGATCACCCTAGCTACGCTACACTCTACACATGCAAATGAAAGATGGCGGCACACATACATGTTGAGCACTTTAAAAAGATGCCTGAAATAATGGCAAACAAATGTGTATGAGGTATGCTTAAAACAAAAATAACACGGTTGATTTCAGGTGGATAGTCAGTGTTAGCTCTCTTTGGTAGTTATCAAACTAGCTCCCTTAACTTCCAGTATTTTATTCCATATTTCTGTACTGTACTCACTACATGTATTGCTGTCTTTACCCTCAGATTAATAAAAATCATGTATTGACAAATCTGAAGTTGCAGTTGCCCTTTCTCTGGTAATATTTGTGCAGATGTACATGGAGCTTCAATAATAGGTTTCCCTTCTCAAGCATCCACTTCAAAGTAAAGTAGTATTTCATGTACAGTGTATACATGTAGTGTATTAGGCATGAGGGATTTAGTATACATTTATCAGTTTTACATTCAGTAGTCCAGTGAAAAGTTTTAAAACTTGACTTTCCTCAAAAGCTTGTTATTTCTAAAGCAAAGTGTATGATACCTGATGTTTAACTGCAACAATTTGCACTTTCCAGTGAGAGTTACTCAAGCAGAATCTGTGTTCACATTCCTGATCAATATTCTTTGCATTATCCGATTCTGAGATACAAAACTCCAGCTGTTACATCTCACAGAGTTTTGCTTTGTTGATAACCAATAACTTCTCTGGCTCTTTTAGCTGTCTCTGTTTTCCTCAAGCTTACCTTTGACCTTTCTTCTTTAGCAGAATGATGGAATATTTGCATATGCATGTAGTGCCTTTACTGACAACATATGCAGGAGATGAAAATCTCAACCCCTGATTATAGTCATACTTTATATGAAATATAGTATCTGTATGGTGAAATATGTACTGACATGTGGTAGTTATTTAAGTAGATACCAGACAACTATGGAGAATTCATCTTTGAAGTGATCTTGCGTGAGGATGCCGCACCTTTGTAGTGTAACCATTCTTGGTGGTAATATGGATCCATTACTAGAGGATTATGGTGAATTTTTGCAGTGATTCTTTTTCTGTGTGAAATGACGACAAGTATTCCTTATCAGACTGTTGTGCTTAGAATCAGAGGTTACAGGAAACCAGACCTTGTAGGATGTTGTGTTGCAGTATTTACTGCAATCGTGGAGGTTGATTGCCATGTGCAAGCGAATACATGTGTATAAAGTTTTGTTTATCTTTTGGTTGGAAGAAATGATCTCAAGAGGATCGATCAGTCAACAGTCCTCTAGACTTTGGCTTTGAGGAAAGGATCTCTTGGAAAGTAATTTCCTTAGAACTAAATCATTGAAAATTTGGCCAGCCATAAAAAGTGCATTCCCGATTTCTACCTAAACATTTCTGTTAAAGTAAAGTTTTCATTATTCAGATGTTAAAAACAGCTGATCATAAGAATCTGTCCAAGACTTTCAAAGTGCTTTTCTTTATTAACTTATATATGTTTGACTAAAATTTGAATGATTTGAATATAGATTTATTCTAATGACGACACTGTATTTGAGTTATTACAGTATACCTCTTTGGTTTTTTATGGTTTGACATTAATGCGTGGAATGATGTTGTGATTATATTTATTGCCATGAATAGCTACAAATAATAAAAGTCACAGATAAATTTTGGAGAAATCTGTGTGGGAAAATAGGTTGTAGTTTGTTAAATAAATTTTCTGCCATGTGTATTCTTTCTGGTATCATGCGCACCTTAAATGGGTGCGTCTTCCAAATTGGCCCAAGGGGGCACATCCACACCTGTTTTACATACAAAGTGTGGACATTCCTTTGTTTTCCTGTGGTTAAGGAAACTTGAGGAAAATGCTCCTTTTTCTCCCACCAGGATAACTCCTTCAAGCTGGATTTTTGATGATGATTTCTTGCAATGTTCCTCTTCATTTTGCCACAGATAACCTTGACCCAAAAATGCGTCTGAACCTGTTTTTCAGAGAGGGGAAACATTGCGTGAACGTGTGCGAGTCCGCACGCCATCATACCCTACATTATGTGGACTTCTTTTGTGCAGAGGTCCACATTATGTATGCCACGCCTGCACATTTATACACACACATCGTACACCAATCGTGTCCAGGTTCTGGGAACCAAAATGCCCAACTGCTGATCTTCTAGTCACGCTTATATTCATATCCTGTTGTTCTTGAAATGCAGTTATACTTTTTTTTGGTGGTTATACTAGCAGTTTTGTATTTTGAGGAGGTATTGCCACCTAAAAACGCATGTTATGCAAAAAATTTCCGGGTTTCGGGAAATGTTTAAATTTTTCGTAGAATGACGTCACGCAGAGTCTCTTCCACGACTGTCTGCGTCTTAAGGTCTTGCGTGCCGTAGGCGTTCATTACGACCATATGGAAACCAGGCTTAAATCACGCGCTGGCACCTGGATACGAGACAGTTTCATCGATTCTGATTGGTCAGGAGTCTGTGTGCACGTGGCTCGCCACGTAGGCGCCAAGTCCATATAAGGAGATTCTTTTGGACAACTTGCACCAGGAATATACCATAAAATGGACGGGGGTGTTCGGGAAAATGAAAAGAAAATCTAGAGCAAAATCGTGTATCATAAATTGACTTCTTTTGACACTGACTAAAAAGGTTATTTGTGAATGTAAATAAATATGTGCTTGGCCGGTAAAACTACCTCAGGAGACAGACCGCTGATAACGCCCTCGCCTGCGGCTGAGGCATTAGTCGTGTCCATTCTCCTGAGCCGGTCTTAAACACGCGTTTAAGACCTGCCAAGCACCTATTTATTCCCTTAGTAATATTAGTTTACAGTCATCAGAGAAATGCGACCGAGAGAAATGTTCAACCGATACAGACAGGATGGTTCTTGATAGATTCCCACCTCCACGCCACAACAAATGGCACCATTAGTCTTTGTCCGCCCAGCCTCTTCCGATACTAGTCTTTTTTTTCCCCTTCCAACCATCCATATTCTGTAATCACAAGCTGCGAGGTCGTCTGTTTTAATTTCCGTTCATTCTGCTCATAAGTTATAATACGTGTACCGTGATACCAGCTGCATGAGGCAGGGCCATCGACACGCTATGAAAACAGACTCATACGGACCTCTGAATAATGCACAGCATGTCTGCTTTACGCTCGCATTATGTATAGTCTTGTCTGTCAGTCAGATATTTTCATGTTAGGCCTTGTGACAACATGTAATGGGTACGTTTCAATATCTGGAGACAGTCTTGACATTTACCAGGGCTGTGTCTATGGAATTTTTCTTATAATTTTTTTCTCGCATGCAATGGCTTCGATCAGCCGACAAGAACCGCGAACGGTTTAAACTGTAAGCAACGCATGATCGATTATTTTAAGGCTAATCAGACAGCTATCAATTATTAATACTGGCCACGAGTGTAAGAACAACAGAAAACCTTCGGAAAACTTTCTTATGGTATGGTGATGTGCACAGCGCACGGGCGTCGTTATCATTTTGAATGGGGTGGGTGCCACATGAAACTTGCCGACGGACCGTCACGCAAAACGAAAGTACTGTATCCCCTTCTTTTCATCTTCATTCTCCGTTTTTTTTTATTTTGCCGACAGACCATGGTTTTGCCGACAAACTAACCAATGGGGGTGTGACACCCCCCTCTAGCGGTGCTCGTGGCACAGCGAAAACTATTAGTCTATAATTTTCCATCGTTCTGTGACGATACGGACCTTTGCCGGAAGGGCATTCGATGTAGCTTTGACGTTCTTAACATAGATTTCAGAAGACGTTGACGGACACTCGGTACACTGTAGACATGAAATCAAGTCATTGACCGATCTCCTTTTTAGGCTCGACCAGCGCAGGGTTTCAAGGAGGAACCGCCCCTGACCCATGTCCATGTGTCGATGACTCGGAATCAAGTCTACTCATTTGGTTCCAACAAAACAAATAGTTTGCTGTACATTTGCAGTTTGTGCGTTTTTCCAAATAACGGATTAACAAGTCAACGTGAAAGCTGATATTACAGCAGCTATTCTGAGACTATCGAGTGTGTGCTTCTCCCAAACACTCTCCCCCCCCCCCCGCCTTGAATGGATCTCTTTCTCCTGTGAGAGCGTTACCCCCTTTCCTTCGTCTCATAAATGATTTCGCGTCGCCGCGGCTTGACTGTCAAAACAATGCAGGAGAAACGCGTACGCCCCTACCTCTTAGTGGAGTGTTTACACGCTATCTTCTCCCTACTTCCTAATGTTTGGATACCTTTTCGGGCACAATAGGAATGCTCGGTTTGAAATACATTTCATCCGTATTATTGCTGTGCCCTGAGGTCCGTCTTTCAATGAACATGGTAGGATATCCTCGAAGGATTGATCTCTTAAAAGAACATATTTTTCAAAAGCGTTGATATTATTCTGGTAAACATTCGGCTTATTTTATGTATACTTTTTTATTAAGTCACTGGCGTTTGTCTCAAAATCCCGTAACAAACCCTTCGGCAGGCAATGCATTTATATACACAATACGTTTTACAATTGCTAGTTTCAAACGCACAAAACCATACTTCCAAAACTCAAAGAACTGTCGAAGTCAGAGAAGCAAATTCGGCTGCAGATTCTCTACACCGTCTTACATACGTTTGGCCAGCAAGATCTGTGCATCTCCCTTAAACCGGGTGTTTTTTTTCAAATACGAGTAAAGAACTATCAGCCCCAATGGGTTTTACGCGTATGCTGTGTCTTCTGTAGACACTCGCCGATCCAGGGGGCAAATAGGGGCCAACCCTTAAGGGGGGCGACTTGTTAAAATATATTTATATAAGGCAGTTTAAAAATGTTTGCAGAAGTAAAATTAACCTCCACAAATTTAGTTCTGAACCGCCATTGTCTGTGGACGATTCTAGGTTCGTGGTAAGTGTCAGAAGGCCCATCGGTTACGGGTGATTTCGGTAGCATTGTGCATATATGATGGTGTTTTCTCCCATGCCTTGAATTCTGGTAATGAATTAAAGATCACGCTATTTAACACCAATGATGTCCAGACCAATAAGAACTCTAAAAGATTCTAAAATTCCTCACTCTGTGGACGGCTGAATTAGACCTGAGTTTTGAATTTTGGTTCCTTGAACTTGCAAGTACAATCCTAGTGCTGTAATCAAAGTGATGCATTTCAAGACTCTTTTTTGGCACTCACTCCGTCAGTGCTCTGGTTTTTGAAGATGTGCACATGTGAACACATTATTTTTAAGATGTGAACTGTGGAAATGTGTAAGCCATACCATACATATCAAATGTGCGCTTCTTACACACTGGCGATTGACACTCTATCTTAATGATTAATGTAGGTTTTGTTTACAAAGTTCTTGTAATGGTAAGGTTTTTGCCCTGTGCCTTATTTGGTGTTGACAAGAAAAAGATAAAAAGCAGTCATATTTTATGGCCCTCATAATATTTCCCTTATTCCAGCTATCAAACGATCAGTCTTCCAGGAACTAGTGTACTACATCCAATCTTGCAGAAACTGTGTACTGCATCCAACTCGGTTAAAATCAGCCAATGACTGCATCAGAAAAGTTTTTTGCGTCACCACTACTAAGCCAATAGGCGCCCGATTTGGGCAGCTGCCCATAGAATTGCATGTGAAACGCATGTTACGCAGACGACACTGTACTAAATCGAATGTTGTGCACAATCTTTGCATTCTAGTCGGGGCTCATTGTTTTCTTTCATTGCAAGAATGCGAGATGCCACTTGTACATGGCTCGCCATTCGCTGCGTGAAAGCTGGCTTGAATCAACATGGCGGAACTGTTGTTGGTCGACTGTGACTTTACGGTCAAAACTGTTCAGCTAAGGAAGCTGTGCTATAGCAAACATCAAGGAATCCCGGTCTTAAGCGTTTCTGCACCAAACGTCAGAAGTTCAGGATGGAATAGTCGAATAAACATTGCATGACTGCTAGGTTACTTACACAAATGCGTTCCATGGTAGAAGGTATGATTACGCGAAGTGCTGCAGGCGGTAATGTACCCTGGACCGTTAAACTGCTTGGCCTTGGATATCGTCAGTCGAGCATTCCCAAAGTGGATTATGAAGGCCTAGGCCTACAAGAGATGGGCGGAATTTTCATCGCAGGGCGCCGTGTCACACTCTTCTTGTTGGGAAGCCTTTGCTGGTATCTACAACGAGGTCGAGGGTAAGAAAATATTGCTTAGCTATCTTTCTGTATATAGTTTCTCTTAGTATGAAAATGTGTACCGCACTATCAACAGTTTGAATTGGATACTAAGTTCATTTCAAAACTGGCCTGTGTAATGCACTTCTTCTGAGGCCGGATTTTACAACCGGCTTTCCGGCCATTTTGGAGTTGCAGCCACATATGCCTTGCTTCCGAGCCATGACGTCATTACACCTCGAGTCGCACACGTTCGCGGGGGCTGACGAGCTCACTTGCAAGTGCGTTTCCCCTGCCTCGGGGGACCTGGAGCTGCCATGATAAACAAGGCCTTTCCCGGTTCCGGCGCGGTCGGCCACCGTTTGTCCGCCGGTTGTGAAAACACTTCGCGGTCCGGGCGTTGTTGTCATTGCCGTCCTTGGCGGCGGAGTTCGAAGCGGCGGTGATGATTTCGCGCCCTCCCCATTCCCACTTGCAGAGGGCAAGGGGCCACGGGCAGTATCCGAAGATTGC